AGGAGAGGAGAAGAGGAGCCGTACCCAGGAACCCAACCGTAGCCAGACAGGTGAGGCTGAGCACCGCCGCCAGCACGGGCATGCCGATGCGCATGAAGGGCCCCAGTGATGCGGAGGCTTTGCGTTTTGTGCTGGGACCTGCAACAGAGAGGAGCGTGGCCCCACGTCGCCAGGGTCGGCGGGCAGCACCCGCGCCCCCGGGGGTATTACCTCTGCCATTCAGCCGCTCGGAGGCTAAATCCTGCAAACCAGAGGGGAAAACGAATCACCGAGCTGAAACCTCAGCCGAGACGCAGCCGGCAGGGGCAAGGGTCTGTAGTGGTGTGGCTAGCTGGCCCCGTGGCGATTCCCGTGCCAAGCACACGGCTAGCGTGACCAGCCCCCCCCGGGGAGGGCAGCCCAGAGAAAGCGGAGGGTGGGCTGAGCCCGGGCCGGCGCAGAGGCTGCTGTGTCTCTGTTTTGCTGGAGCCCCCCTGGGAGGATTAGCAGGGAAACTGCCCCAACCTGCAGCTGAGGTTGCTTTAGAGCTGCTGGGGGTGGAGGTGGCAGCCGGGGGGTCCTGGTGTGACAACACTTGGCTCTGCTGCCACCTGGGATCACCGAAGGTGGTGTTCCCGTGGTCACCGCCTGTGCAATTCCGGTAAGTGGCTCCTAACGTTCTAGAGGTACGGTGTTTAATGCACCAGAGGCTTAGGAAGTTATTGGCGTTATGAAAGAGGTGCTTTCCGATGTGCCAAGAAACCCTGAGTCAAAATACACATGCCCGCGGGGCTGTGCCACCCAGGCATGTCACGACAGGGCCTCTATTCTTCGGCTGGCCCAGCGTGGGGTCAGAAACCAAATGGCACGGCCCGAGACCTCCCCGACAGGCTGCTAGAGGAGAAACCAGCCCTGCCCATGGGAGCAAGCGCTCTCAGGGCGGGGAGGGAGGGCTGTGCCGCTGCTAGGGCACGCAGTAAACACAGCCCCGGCAGCAGCCAGCGCCGGGGCGAGCGGATCCCACGCGATCTCTTCAAAAGCATTTTCCTGTAACAGCTTCTCGTACGAGAGATGCCCAGCAGCAGCTAGAAGGGTCCCATGGGCTGCAGCCCCCCAGCCGCTGCCCCCGTCCTCAGCGGGCGGGCGGGTGCCAGGCAGAGCTCGGAGCCCCGTCGCGGGGGTTTCGGGCGGCCGCTGTACGTTTCCGTTGCCCTGTTTTGCAGCCACGCTTGTGCCATGATGCTGAGCCGCTTCCTGGCAGCCTGCGGTTTGAAAGTGTGCTCCTGCCCTGCTGAGGCTGTGGAAAGCAGCAGCACGCTTGCTTTTTCCTTGAATGCCCTTCCAGCCCCGAGCAAGCCTTTTTCCTTTGCTGTTGCTTCCGGACTGGACCACAACAGATAAGACGAGCTTTTTTGCAGGGTCTGTACCCAGCATGAACAGAGGTAAGGAAGATTAAAAACGCTGCAAGAAACCCACAGATCCAGGAGCACGATTGAGGAGGGTTTGGGGTTCCGAAGCCTTTGCTCCTGTGGCTGCTGAGCTTCGGGAGCAGCACGCTTCTTCCTGGGCAGCAGAGGGCTGGAGGTGGCTGCGTTTGTTGTCTCACGTGAGAGCAGAGGCCCCTGTGCAACCTTGGGGCTCGGAGGTTGGGGCTGGGGAGAGCAGCGGTGCCACGAGAGCACGGATGCTGTAAGGTGTAAAGGGGCCGTGCTCCAGCCGGAGGCAGGTAGGAGGGGGCGGGGGAGCCCTCCCTCTCCGGGTCGCTGTGTTTGGGCATGTTTAGCCATGCACAAAGGCTCTACCGGCAGGATTTCACAGGCCAGTGCCAAGCGATTATTTGTGGGTTAACACACAAAGACAGCTTGGATTGAATGTGCTGCTAGCCCAGCCGGCGCTGCCCCTCGCCCAGCCGGGAAGCGATGCCCAGCATAGCCCTGCTGCATGGCCTCAGCTGCCAGTTTCGGCTGCTCCCCAGCCCGGGAACAAGAATTGACCTGTGCAGGGGAGGACCAGATCCTGCCCGGTGCTGGTGGGGCTGTGGGCATGTGGCTGTGCCCCAGCATGCAGCCATCTGGCTCTTTTGAGGAAACACCAGGGGCCTTTCTCTGAACAGCCGGGCTCGTCTGGCACCGATGCGAGACGGGGCAAGTGGTGGCAAGCGCTCAGCTCCGAGATGGGCTCTGCTCAGCCCCTGGGGACTTCTGGCCCCTGTGAGGACACTGCAGTCCTACCAGGGGCTCTCAGCTCCTGGGGGCACAGACGACCTGGCAGCAGGGGCTCGGGGACCTGCTGGGAGCAGGAGGGCAGGGTGGGAAGGGGAGCGTGTCTCCTGGCCCTCCCACCTCGGCCGCCCTTCCCGAGCCGCTTATCTGCGGCGCCCCGTGCCTGCGGGAGCCCTGGGAGTTTTGTAATGCCAGCTCGGCTTGCTCCCGAATGCCACCTACATCCTCCGGCGCAGCCAGCCAGGGCACGTGGGGCCAGTCCTTCCTGATGCTGACCTCTTGTGTCACCGTGGGCCTGGACCAGGCATGACCCAGATAATGGGATCCTAACGGTTCCCTGTGGGAACGATCCCAGCGCCCCGGCCACGATGACGGCTCCAGGCTGCGCGGCACGGCCGGGGCTCTGCGGCTGCCCCCGCCTGCCCACAGGCTGCATTGTGTCTGGCATCGGGCTCCTTTCTGACCCCCTTGCGCAGATCCCACGCAGAGAAGGTAGTGCCCGTGGTTGGGTTTATTTTTGCATTTTCTTCCATCCCTGAACCTCCTCATTTCAAACAGGCTCACAGCTCGGAGCTGCCCCAGGGGCTGCCCGCTTGCTCTCGGAACCACGCTGCAAGCAAGCGCTGCACTGGTTAAATTCAAAGCAAGGCAGAGCTGTGCCAGCTCCTGCCTGGAGTGGAAGCACGTAATTTCCTGGAGAACTCAAAGCTGCCGTAACTAATTGGGCTTTCCTTGCTGTACATTAGTGTCGCTGTGGCCAGCCTGCACTCCGGCTGCGCAAATGCCAGCCCATGAACCGTGGGCTCGTGGTGAATTTCTGCACCCGTGCCATCTGCGCAGGCTTGGGCAGCTGGGGTGCAGTCAGACCCCTGCTGTTTGTCCCCCACGGCATGGGGCTGAGCGGCGCTGGGGTGCCCTGAGTAGCTGTGCCAGCAGCTCCCGAACGAGGGACAGCGGGGTGTTCCGATGCAAACCCAGCTTCCAAGGGGGCAGGTGCTCAGATCCGGGGCTAACTCCTTGGCTGCAGGGGATTTAACCCAGGGGGGTGCGGAGCCATTGCTGCCACGCAGGGAGGCGAGTTCCCCCTGGTTTTGGGTTTTTTTTTTAAAACTTTTTTTTTTTTTTTTAAAATCTGGTGTTACAGTGCCCACGAGCTGGGCCCTACGTGGCTGCCCTCCCTTAAGGAGGTCCTCCCTCCTAGGGAGGGACCGCATGCCAGGCTGGGGTTTGGTGGCTGTGGCTTTGCTTGCAAAAGGCGCTGCGAGAAGCTGAGCCGAGCGTGTCCCTTGCGCTGAGCAGAGGGACCACAGTCCCGCAGTGGGAGCCGTGCTGGGGAGCAGGGGTGCTGGGCTCTTGCCCAGGCCCTGCCAAAGAACCAGCCCCTTCTTGGGGGGGGAGGATAAGATGCTCCAGAAGGGCGCACTGCCCTTGGTGAGCAGGGCACACTGCCTTGCTTGTCTGCTTCCCAGTCTGGGAGAGGGCCAAGGCAAGGCACGGAGAAATGTGGGAGCGAGGGCTCGTGGGGATAGCCGAGTGCCGTACCCAACAGCCGTGGCGGGGGGTTGATACAGATGGGTGAAATCATTCCCTGGCTGGATGCTGCGGGGGGAATGGGGCCAGGGAGCAGCAGCTCCTCTGAGCCGCCTCATCCCTGGCAAAGCGCTCCTGGCAGACCCGGGCTGCGAGCGCGGCCAGCAGCGGGGCGTGCGGTGCTGGCTGCCGACCCTGGGGCTGGGGGTGACGTGTGGGGAGGGGGCAGAGAGGCAGGCAAAGCTGTCGGTAACTCACCATGTTCATCCAGCTCTGACGGGGTCTTGTGCCTGCAGAAACCCGGCAAGTATCCCCCAGTCTGGGCCACGGGGAGCCTGCGGGTGCCCCAGTGATGCCCAGGGAACCCAAGCAGGCGATGCTCCCGCCGCCCCCGTGCCTGTGCTGCTCTGCCCGCGCCGTATGAATACTGGGGCAGGACCGCCCAAGCGCTGCTTAAAACCCACATCAGGAGTTGTGAAACAGGAATTCTGATTTGTATTGTAATAGAACACCGGTCTATCAGCAGCACCCTCACCTGCCGTAATCTCCCCAGCATCTGCCACTGGGGGTGACTCACCCGCAGAGCTGCTGTCACACAACAGCTTATCGGGGCGAGCTGACTGACAGAGCAGGATTTTTCTTGCTCCTCTCCTGATGATAAGAGGAACCGCAGCCGTCCCCGCTCTTTGCCTGCCTCTTCCGTGTTGCACCGGGTTGTTTTTAAGCAGAGGTTTTAGTAGGCGGAGGAGGAACGGAGAAAAGTTTACACATGAGGTTAGCAAGCTCCTGCCTCTCGGGTCACTCGGGCTGCGTGTCCCTGCGCAGCCCTGGGTCGTGGCTGGCAGCACCGGCGTGGAGTTGAAAGCAAAGCGGGTGGGTGCCCATGGCCGGTTGCCTCTGGGGCTGCCCTGCAGGCTGGCACTATGTGTCCAGGAATAGTCGCCCTTGGATGAAGGGCTCGCTTTACCCTACCGCTGGCAGCACTGCCGGGCAGGGTGGGCATTTGGGTTTAGGCATGCGGGAGCCGCTTGCTCCGGCTGGGCGAAGGCTGGGGTCAGGGAGTCTGCGGGCTGCGGTCGGCCCCGTGGGCAGCTGGCTGCAAACCTGGCCTTGCGCAGACTCACGATGGAAGCAGTGGGTGTGCAGGATTTGCCAAGCAGCTAATTGCCCTCTCCGTTTGTAATTGAGCTTTCCCAGCGGTCGGGGAGAGCTGCTGCTACCGGGTGCGTGCACTGTGCCAGCGGGGAGACTGCGGAGCATCCCGGGCATGCGGGTCCGCAGCCAGGGAGCTGTGCTGTCGCTGTGCCAGCTCACCCCTGCCGCGGCAGGGACCCTGACCAGGGGCCCTGGTGTCTGCATGTGGCTCTGTCCATAAGGGACACCCTCCCCACACTCACTGGTGAGGATCCGGCCCCCTCGGAGGTGTGGGGACCTCGGCAGGCTGCAGTCTCCCCTCCTGCCCACATGGTCCATGCGATGCCCAGCGACCATGGG